GCGTCTTTTTTACACAACACTTTATTCAAGTTTTTAAAGTTCCATTATTGGAATCAACTTCATAATTGATGTATAATATACGCATGATTATGATTACAATCATGAATAAGGTCATTAAAGTGAATTCCAAAAGCTTACAAGTATCCATAGAGCAACAAACAAAGACGTACTTCATTATTTAGACTCTCTATGTCTTTATATGTTTTACAGCCAGTAATGATCATTTTTCCGGTATGAAATAACAAACACTTGCTCTTTTCTTTGCGATAATAAGCTGCTGGAAATAACTCAGGATAGTATTCGAACATCCGTGGTTTCTATCTGCTCAACTTGTCGAGATTTATTTTACGCTTGAAGTTAGAAGTACCAACCATATTAACTATCTGACGATTATGAAATTCAATCGGTATTTTAATTTCATGCAGAAAGCAGCAATAGTTGAATCAGCACACTCAATGCTCTTAGCGCCAACCACATTTATCTTACCATAGTTGAATATGAGTAAGCAAGCAGTCTCGAACTTGAGAATAGCTCCACTGAATCTCTTCGGTCGGTAATCGATACTAGGAAAATACTCACTCAATTCAGCAAGCTTGAAGGGAAATCTAGTAAGATGATATTTTATAACAACGTTGCTTATTTCAGGTTTGTTAATCAGCGTATCCATCATTATTTGAATCCAAGCAGCTTCTTGATTTGTCGCTCCAGATATTTTATATATATTTTCTGCTCAACAGATTCCTGATGGATAGAATTTAAGGAGTCAAGATGATATTCACAGACTTCAACAAGATCACAAAGTTGTTCTACTTCTTGAGTTAAAACGTTGTTTCTTCTCATAATCCTTCTATTCTGACGCCTCAGCCGTTGAACTTCTCTCATCAACTCTCCAACTTGCTTTGATAGCTTTTTATTCTCACAGTTTACAGAAACGTTAACTAACTCTATTGCAAGAGCTATTCTATCCATAACGGTCAACTTAACACTAAAAATTGAAATGAATGAAAAAGCGAAATAGCAAACTATTTATACGCGATAGAGAATGGATAATTACAATTAGACGATTTTGATTGGTCATTTGTATTTTTATTATTCTTAAGAAATATTCAGTAATGATTACATCATCTAGGATAAATAGCCTTTAGAAATTGTAAAGCGCAAAAAGAATGGAAAAAGTAAACAAATACGAATTTTGCTTCTAAGGATCCCAAACCAGCTTCTTTTAGACTTTTTATTCTCCTGCAACGTACACGGTATACCGATACAATCAAGAATGTATACCAAGACAAGATCATTTACAATAACTGGATCCCGTTCAGGAAGCTGTTCATAAAACTGCTTGATATATCCTCCTACATCTTCAGGAAGCGCATCCTTCAAATACTTTGAAATATCACCATTTTTATCGAATTTTGCAGGAGCAAAGTAGCATTGTTGACCACAGACAGTAAAACATAGAGCAGATTCATAATCTATATTACCATAGCGACTTCGCACTTCAATTTTGAATCCGTAGAAGTCTTTTTCGTTTGGAATCCACTTCAGGTCCATTTTGATTTGTTTTGTATCCATCGTCAATGATTTTCCAGGCTAGATTATCGTTACACTTATGAAACTTACTGAACTTAGCTAGAAAACTTTTGAAGGATGTATTGGTTGCTCTATCAATCACAAATGCAACGCAAAATGCTCCACAACCTCTCGACTCAAGATGTTGTAACTGTTTAGTATTCCAAACGAGTTTTTTCTCTTTAAATAAGCTATGCATCTCAGGATACATAGGTGGCAGTCCAAACGAGTCAAAATACTCACACTTGCGTGAATCAACTCTGAAGGCTACCCAATGTTTTCCTTTTTCCGTAGATTTATCAGTATTCACAACTAAAAAACTTGGATAATTTTTGATAATAGGTATCTTATCTCTAGCAAACACGCCTAAAAAATTATTGACGTGTGCACATAGATTTCGTATCTCATAATTATACATGTTTCACTGTGTTTTTGTAATCGGATGCTATATTTCGCTCGTAATCAATCTCAATAATGTTGTCATATTCACAAAATATTACAACATCAATAACTTCAGCGAGTGCTTTTGCAAATTTCAAATAAATTCTCAATGTACCATGATTTATAGGATTGACATGTCCTACTAAATCACAACCATGAGACAAATCAGGTGCAAAGTTGAACCCAAAAATGGTTTTACCGTCAGCAAATTCTTTTCTCTTTATATCGATCGTTGACTCTGTTGAGTTCATATTCATTGCCTGGAATAACCCTGAATACTCTCTGATATAGTTTCCTTTATCAAAATCAGGTTGATAACCATTGCTCGGGTATTGAACTCCATTGAGATAACAAATCGCTTGAGAAATATTGAAATGTTCGAAGCGGAATGGATCCTTTTCTCTTGAACCGTTGAATGCTTTATTTGAAACACAACCTAGAAATAATCTGCGAGGTAGCTGTCCAATTATAATATTGTCTAAAACAGCATCCATAGACTGCGAAGGGATAGGTATATGTTTAACTTCTACTCTTGTTATTGGATATTTAGCTGGTGCCAAAGCCAATGCTTTAGCGTGAGCAGTAACCAAACCTGGATATGCTCGCAAACGATGTACGAATAAACAAGAATCAATAATTTTATGATTCAAAGTAACTGCATTCGAATACTCGAAAGCAAAATCGGTCGTGTTAAGGATCAACTTCAACTGCAAATCACAGCCTCCGATGAGTGCCTTTCCTTGGAATGTAAGATCAACATGCAATTTACCATACAAATCAACAACTTTAGATTCACCTATTTTGTCATTATTAGTTGCCGGTAAGAAGTAGCCTCGTCTTTCTGCTGCATCTTCATTCCATAAACAACACTGTAAATGTGTATCCTTAGCTGATTTTCCATATCCTAAGAGATTTTCAAAATAGGCTCTGTAAGCATACGTGTTCGAGGAAGAAGTTACTTCTCTGTTTCCAAGCTTAAGTTCAACTTGCTTTATCATTGAATGTAGCAAGTTATTAGCAGGTTTCAACCAAACCCAGTCTGCCTCAGTCATGGCTGTGTTATCATTTTTGTTCATAACTAACTGCATCTTAACATATAGGTATGTTTCATGCATTAATATGTACTCATCCTTCGATGTAGGAATATGAAATTCCAGGTAGTTGCCACCTGTAATTGATGAAATGGGTCGATGTTGTGTTTCATAGCTTCTTTCAATAGATTTCTGTGTAGGTGGTACGGTGAAAATATCCAGTTCAGGAAGAAGAGCTTCAGAAGATAATTTGTGTATGGAAGTCATTTTAGGAAATCGTAATATGCTTTATTCAAGCTTTTCTTTTTCCTATTGATTAAGGCCCTTTTTATAACCTTTCTTCCAGCGCCTTCCTGTTTATTCCTTTTGTCAGAAATATGGCGAATTGCATCACTAGCAATTTTACCAACAGTCTCTGATACGTGATTAGCTGCAGAGTTTTTAGTATCTTCAAATATAGCCTTACCAGTGTC